AGACAGACATAGAGAGAGTATGGCCGCATGCTGAAAGTCTCTTCACTTCTACATGTTTGTCTGCCTCTTGTCTTGGTGTTTTCCGCTGTAGTCCCTTTACCTTTAACTTCTCCCTGAGCTTATTATTCCTGCACCACTCCTTGGCCCTCACTTGATGTCCACCCCCCCCAACACCCCCCCAAGAAAAGCTGTTTTCTTAATTTTGCTTCAGCTGTGACTGAGAAGAACAAAAGTGTTAATGTACTTTTAATTTGACGCCCTTTCTGTTCATTTGCAGATAAGATGTTGAGCTCACGAGGCTGGGTCGATGGGTAGATTTGTGTGTTTTCTCACTGTGGTTTTGTTTGTTTGTATTGACCCACGTCAATATTCAACCTCCGTCCTCGCTGAAGGCAACATTGCCCACAAACATTGACTTAAACACAGCGTCGGGGTCGTGCTGCAGGAGGATGACAGAGTCGTCAGTTCGACCTTTAAAACTGGAGCTCAGTTAGAAAACTTCAACCAAACAAGACGGAATTTAAATGTCATTATCGTGCAAAATCTGGTTTGTGATGTGTGTGTGTGTGTGTGTGTGTGTCTGTGTGTGCACGCATACGTGTGTCCTTATCATTGTCTGAATTGTGTGTGTGTGTGTTGTCTTTCCAGTCCTCACGCAGTTCCAGATCGTCTGCGTCTTCGAGTGAATCGGATCAGCCTGCAGGAGTACGACCGACTGCAGTACGACAAGGAGCGGCTACGAGACATCTGTAAGGGTGTGTGTGTGTGTGTGTGTGTGTGTGGTCACTCGCAATGATTAGCATGACTCTACGGAGCATTTCAGCATCTTTAGGCTCTTTTTGGTTTTCTAGCTCACAGCTTTACTGTTGATTCACTCTCATCAAAGAGGGACGGAGGTAGAGACTTTGGAGTGGTTGGTCCCCGGCAGCATCACAGCAGCTTACTGCTCCTAAACGCTCAGGAGGGGTTAAATGCAGAGCTCAAATTTCATGCATGTGACGATTAGAATAAAGTCTTGAAAGTTTTAAGACCAGCTGGTGGACATAGTGGAGCGTTTAGCAGCTTAAGAGCCAGACATTTCCCTCAGGGACCTGAATCAGAGCTAAAAGAGAGTGAACATTTGACACAAATAAACTCAGAATAAATGACGTTGTCGCACATCTGCTGGATGTGTAAATGAGCAACAGTTTGCCAACAAAATGAAAACAAAAAAAGACTAAATGTCAATGAACGCAGCCAAAAAAAATGCAGTTAATCCTGGTTTAACCTACTTTTTCGATGCATAAATGTCTAAAGTGTGCATTCCAGCCATCCCAGTGGGCATCGTGGTGGTGAGGGGCGACTGTGACCTGGAGACGTGCAGACTCTACATCGACAGATTACAAGAGGCAGGTCCCCCCCCCCCCTTTATCTTCATCGTTAACGCTCATGATCATCTCAATCTTCTTCTGTTTCTTCCTCTTCATCATTATTTCATGACGCTTGCAGCGTTATTTATAGACGGATGAGCATCCGACACCGCTGGGAATGCGGAGCTTGTGTGTCTCTCGTGGGAAGCTAACTGGGCTAACATCTGTGGACGTTTTGGATGTAAATGCTTTGGCTGTTTGTTAACCTTGAAACCTGTCTGCTGTGCTTGCTAGGACTTACACCAGGCGCCATCTACTGGCCACAGGGTGCACTATCAGGTATATCACTTTTGGGTGTCTTTCTGCAGGAAAAGTTGTTTTTTTTTTTAATCAGTTTTGAACAATTTAGAAGTAATTTCTTACATATTTTAAATCTCTAAATCTGCCTTTTTTTCCAGTACTTAAAATTTGTGTCAACCTGTTTCAAGGATTTTGGACGATTATGCCGTAGTTATGATACTTTTAGCAGTGTTAGCAGTTCCATAAAGAATGAAAATATAACTCAAACGCTGAATACAACGTAGGAAATGTAGGTTTTACAGACTGACACCCTTGTTGAGTAAAGTATTTTGTGTTCATCTGAACAGTAATATTATAATGATATTCATTAGCTGTGGTGAGTTTAATTCAAACTACACTATACTCTGCCTCATTGTCTCTGTCTTGTTACTGATTGTTCTTATTAATACCTTTCCTCTGTCTGGATTTCTCTCTTTTGCTTTCTTTAAATACATGTAAATGTACATTTAGTTTATTGTTCAGTGAAGTGATGATGAAGATCACGAGTGTCTGATCTCTTTGTCTTCAGGACGAGAGCAGAGGCGTCCCGAGGACCAGTTCCACCAGTAGACTCTCTCCCAACTGGAGCTTCTTGGATTGTGAGTGACCGAAACACAGATGTTCATGTGACACAAACTAATAGGAACAAACCTCGGAGAGTCATTTTTACCGTTTAATCAGAGAGGAGCAGCTAAAGTATGCAAGCAGTGGACACATTGATTTTCTACTGTTTTTGCATCTCACTTCCCAGAGATCCGAACATATAGACGCCAGGTTTGTAACTTTCATCAGTGGAGGAAAACCTTTAGAATAGTCACTTAAATGATATATTTTATTTTGGTGTTTTTGGTGTCTCAATTATCATAACAACTTTGTAAATCTCTTTTCTTAACATGTTTACAAAGGAAATTAGAGACAGTAATTATGTAAAAGTGTAAGTTGATAAATGAGATAAAATGACAGGTGATCTGAGTCCGTTAAAAGCCGGTTTAATAAGTTAAGTGACTCGACAGACAGACGAGAGTCCTCAGAGTCCTAAAGAAGAGCTTCCTGTTGACATGCATGTTTGTGCTCTGCAGCCACGTCAGCTGACCGCTTCTACCGCATCGACAAGGCTCAGGTAAACACGACTTAAAGGAGCTGCTATCATCAGCATTCATGAGCTTCTGCTTGTATATATATCTTTATCTGCATGTGCGTACGTATGTGTGTGTGTGTCTGTAGGAGCACCTCCACTTTGTGACGGAGATCTGTCAGGACGAGGTGTTCATCCTGGACCACGAGGGACCGACGGTGAACCAGGGATCGTCCACAGCGATGCCTGATCTGGTGGTGGAGCCGGCCGCCGGGTACGTCAGCGGAGACACAACAGATGTATTGTTTTATATTTCTTTCAACCTTTATTTAACCGGGTGAGACCTCCATCACATTTTAATTCCTGTAATTTGTATTTCCAGTGTTTCTTTGACACCCGACGAACAAGGTAAAAAACACACACACACACACACACACACACACACACACACTGTGTTTGTTTGTCATCAAGACATAAAGAGTCGAAGGCAACAGCTTCGTCTTAAAGAACAGATTTTTCCTCTTGCTGAATCTCAACACCCTCTTGAGGGCTTTACAGATGTTTTTCAAAACAGCTGCGAGTCTCTTAAATCCCCTCGTTCAGTCTTGTGATGATTCTAAAGTTCACCTTAAACTTTCTCACGGAAAGTTGGAGGATATTTTCTGTTGAATAATAAGTCACTGTAGTTCCTGGGACTCTCCAGTTTAACAAACCTGTCTCGACATCTTTGTCTACTTTCAGTTTAGCGAACGACAAACAGAGTCCACTCACTCTTAGATCAAAACATCGCATCCGATGCTTCATATTCAGTCAGAAACATGTCTGTCATGTTTGTTTCATTGTTTTTTGGGGTAAATTTCTCTTGAATTCAGTTCCAGAAAGCGGTAAAAGGGTTACAGATACAAAATAATTGCAAAAGGTGACTCAGTATTTTTGGAAACCACAGTTACGGGTGCGGTGGTATTGAGTAATGTTAGATGAAACACGTGTTTTGGTGCGTCTAATTCAAGTCCAGGCAGGTTTTCTAGTTACTCTGAGCTCATTTTTGTCATTAGGTATTTTTAGATGTGCCAGAGACAATGAAAATGTTCCGCTGTGAGGAAATTAGCTCAGGCTTCACCTGAATGGACAAAAGACGGTGAAACTGAAAGCTCAAAGAGTCCCAGCAGAAAGAGCCTGCAGGAGAAAAGAAGAACTTGTTTATTGTTTTTTTCTCGCTTCCCTTTTTTCTTAATCAATGCCTCACTTTGAGAACATCCTCAACATCTTAAAGCAGGAAAAAAATCCCTGAACATGATTCATCGTTAGTCATCGTTACTCCACGCGGAGGCGGATATGTTTAGAAAAAGAGGAAGATTTCTGTAGCGTTGATCTCGCTCGATGTCTGTTTGTGTGTTTACAGCTCTGCTGACGGCTGCCGGTACAGGAGACCTGTCTATGGTAAAGTGCAATCACACACTGACTGTAGAGGAGCGCGTCGTTAAAGCAAGTTTAACCGGTTTGCTGCACTGAGATTTATTAAGACTCCGTTTAGTTTAATCTCTCCAGGTTTCACCAGCTGATAAGAACATCCATAATGATTCAGCATAAAGCCACTCCATTGAATCTCTCGACTCTTAAGAGACCGTTCTGTGCTGCTGAAGAGAACGCTGAATATACTTTAAAAGATATTATGTGTGTTTACTCTCTGTAAACCAAACTATGGCCATAAAGACATAAATCACAGATAAAGATAAACGACACAAAGATATGTTTTATACCATGTTGAAGCTACAAATGAGAATAAGAAGCTAATCTGCTTCTTCCCTCTGTCTCCAGCTGTCGGAGTGTGTGCGTCGAGGCGTCAGCTTGCTGGTTAGAGACTCCAGAGGTTGTTCAGCGTTACATATATCCGCCCAGAACGGACACACGGACCTGATCAGCTTCATACTGCAACAGGGTGAGCGCGTGTATGAAGTGCATGGAGGTAAATGTGTGTGTTAGATGATCTTAAAGGGTGTCACTCAAGGTGTTAAATAAATCTGGTGGTGTGGAGTCAGAAAGAAGCGTAACTCGCTGCTCATCTCTGCTGCAGGCTCCAGGTAACGTTAGCCGCCACGAGCGTAGCATACCCAAAGGTGTCAGCCATGGAGTTGCATTGTGGGTAATGTAGGCGCCAGCTTTTGACGAGCAAGAAGAATGAGTGTAACACTTTTATTTAGCCGTCTATCATGAGTTTGACGCTGTTAAACTCCTTTAAAGTACTAATTCAAAGAGTAAATGTGTGTTTTCTTACATAATCATTGTGTCTTTCTGATTATGTTTTTCCATCTTCAGGCTCTAAGGTGCTTCTGGATTTGACCGACAGAGAGAAGTATGTTGACGACTTTAACTGAGTCTGTGTGTATGTTTTTTATTTGTATTTGTTATCAGGTTATTGTTGAAAGTCAGCTGCCTCGATAGCGTGAGAACTCTTCTTTTATCTGCTGTGTGTCTTCTTTTATGCTTTCTGTTTTATGTCAGTGTGCTCAGTTTACCGGTAATCTTTATCTGTAAATGACAACCAACAATTTGCACGTACTTACAGCTTATCTGATCGCTAAGACGTCTGTGTGTGTGTGTGTGTGTGTGTGTGTGTGTGTGTGTGTGTGTGTGTGTGTAGAGGGGACACTGCCTTGCACAAAGCAGCCTCAGAGAAGCAGCATGCCGTGTGTCGGTTGCTGGTGGAGGCCGGGGCGTCGCTCGAAAAAGTCAACTTTCAGGTAAACACACAGTCACACACACACACACACAGGCACACACACACTGTAGAGACACTACATGTAAATACTGCTGCTGAGTCACATCAAGAGGATCAGCATGACTTGTAAATGATCTACAGAGGCCTCCAGGGTGTGTCTCTCCGGGTCCAGAGTTGAGGATGTCCTGACCGTCTCACACAACGTTGGTTTGTTTGTTTGTTCGGGATTCAACAGCGAGAGACAGACAGAGAGACAGACAGAGAGACACAGACAGACAGAGAGACACAGACAGACAGACGGAGAGAGAGAGAGACAGACGGAGAGAGAGAGAGACAGACGGAGAGAGAGAGAGACAGACAGAGAGAGAGAGACAGACAGAGAGAGAGAGACAGACAGACAGAGAGAGACAGACAGACAGAGAGAGAGAGACAGACAGACAGAGAGAGAGACAGAGAGAGAGAGAGAGAGAGAGAGAGAGAGAGAGAGAGAGAGAGAGAGAGAGAGAGAGAGAGAGAGAGAGAGAAAGACACAAACAGACAGATGGACAGAGAGAGAGACAGACAGACAGAGAGACACAGACAGACAGATGGACAGACTATTAATATTAGTGTACTTTTTTAGTTTTGATGCATGGGCAACATGGTAATATGTTATTATTATTATTATTATAATTTCAATATGACAACCTGTTAGCTGCAGCTCTGCGCTCCTTTTTGTTTTTTCACCGTAGTGACCGTGTGTGTGTCCACCAGGGGAAGACACCCGCGGACCAAGCGGAGGGAGACTCGGAGCTCGCCGCCTTCCTGAACGCCCAACAACAATCTACCACCCGCGAGGACCTGGAGACGGCTGTCTGAGGCGCACACACACACACACACACACACACACACACACACTCTGCCTCTCTGGACTCACACACACACACACACACACACTCTTAGTGGAGAGTGTGTAAGTGTAAATAAAAACAAATAACGGACTCTCTGCAGACGGAGACACGAGACAAACCAGAGCAGTGAACTGCTTCAGCTCACAGCAGCTGGAGATTTTAATGGTCAACTATTTATTTGTATTTATTTATTCATATTCTATTTATTGGTTGTGCTGATTGATTGAGGATGCAAGTGCACTTTGAGCAGCCGTCGTGAGTTCACGTGTCGTTTAGGAGAGCCGAACTCGTGAAAACACGTTTGTTTTTGGTCACAATTCATATTTTAAGAAAGAGAGTGTGTTGATAAGCATTTAGAAAAACGTTTGACCTAAATACTTAAGTTTTGTATTACGTTCACCCCATAAAACCTGTGTGCCAAAGACATTACATGGATGTAGTGTCACATCTGCTCCCAGAATCACAGCGGTTTGTTTTCACATGAATCTCTGCTTTCATACCAAATTAATGTTTCATTCAGCGTCACTGGGTCAACGGAGGGCTTTGATAACGTTATGAAGGTCCGACATTATCTAAAGTACAGAAAGAAAGAAGGAAGAAATCTTTTTGTCTTAACGTTTAAAACCAGTGCTACAAGTTTCTCATAAAAATACCAGAAACAACAAAATAAAATAGATTTGATATGTTTTAAGGTATCACAAGATAAATAAGAGTGTTGGGAACCTCTGGTTTATTCCAGTGTTGGAGGTAAACCAGGAAGAACGTTCTCTCATTTACCTTTAACAGCATTTCGTTGTCAGATATGGTTATAAAGAAATCTATGAAGCCAGTATCAGCCCAGTGTGGAGGATAGTTCAGCCGTAATGCAGCCAGTTGACTATGGAGGACAGACCAGACTCGTTTAAAGCATAATCACTAACTCCAGCTGACGTCACACGAACATATTTTAACTTTTCATAGTGTGTATCTGGTACTCCTGACCCGACAAGGCTTTTCACATGCAGCTTGTGAGTGTGTGTGTGTGTGTGTGTGTGTGTGTGTGTGTGTGTGTGTGTGATAGGATTCTTCATTCCATATCAAACCTGAAAAGAGAATCAGTACAGCTGCAACACAAACAGTCTTCTCTCTGTGCAGCATGTACGTGACCACAGACTGTGTGTTGCTGTAATAGTGTATGTGTGTGTGTGCGTGTGTGTGCAGCATTTATCCAAGAAGAAGATAAAAATCTGAGCCATATTCAATGCAATATGAATCGATGACGTCTTTTGCATTTCTATATTAATCGTTTACATTACATTAATGTTTTGAACATTACCTTTTAGCACCGAGGAGTATTGAATGTGCATTTTTACTTCAGTGCTGGTCGGTTACATGATTGTCCTGTTCTTTTATTTCTTATGTTACTTTGTGTGCATGTACATGGATCGATCTTTTAAAAAACAACCCTGCGAGGTCTCTTTTGATATAACCTGTTGTAAGCTAAATTGATATATAAAGTAAGAACTGCTTTGAATTATTTTAAAGACTCCGTAGCCATCGTGGAAGTCTGACGGCTTTTAAACTTTTGGAAATCCCGTTTTTTTTAACTGCTACTGAAACTCGGTGTTGCTCAGACTTGTTTTCATGAGTCATTGCTGACAGTTTATTTTCTCTTTACCATTGAAACCAACACATGGGAAGTTTTATTTAAAAATATAGCCGTCACACAGTTTTACTTTAATATATCTGAGATGTTCTGCTTCACTTCTGAGTAAATTCCCTCGACTAAATCCACGCTTTCAAGCCTCTCAGATACGATTTTCTTTGTCTTTTCACGATTGTTTGCTTCTACGATGGCTGCCGCTGTCTCTCCAACACCGAGAGCTTCCTCTGAGTGTCTGGAGACGATTAAATGAAATCCTCAAACTGAACTCTCTGTGAATGGAGACGACCTTTCTATGAAGCCACTATAAGCTCGGCCCGCTCACACGCCTCTTATCACTCCATGGAGTAGAAACTCTGTATTAGATTACGTCTCTCATCAGCGTTTGTTTATGCATGGCATTCTCTTACCTCTTTCTTGGGATTATTTTCTGGTAATATGGCATAAAAAATGGCATTATTGTTGTTTTAAACTATTTAATTATGATAGTTTTATTTCTACCTGAGTTTCCTCTTTGGTTGGACATGTGGTTATCTTTTGCTTTTGTATTTCTTATTTTTCTGATGACGATGATGATGATGATGATGATGGGATTACTTGAAGTTTGTTGTTTTATTTTATTAATTTGTTAAAAGAAGATGTGATGCTGTAGTTTTGCCTCTGACATTATTTCGTGTTGTGGACATTTTGCTTAACTGTGTTTCCTCTTCAGCCAAAAACGTTTATTTAAACTGGGAATCAACTGCCAACATGATGAAGTCACTTTTCAATTTAAACATCCAGATGCAAAGATGCCTCGTAGTGTAGTTAACAATGTTCTTAATTCATCATATCTGAACACTGACTCACAACCACAACAATAATACATACAATATATAAAGTATATCAAAATGATCTCAAATATATGAACAAGGTATCAGGCTCTACAACCGTGCTAGGCTACACTTTGAGCTAAATGCTAACGCTAGCATGCTGATGCTAAAACGTTTTTGTTTAGCATGTTAGCCTAACTTCAGCCTCTTGGTGGCGCTAGAGGAAAAGTCAGAGGATCCCCAAAATCAGTAGGATTCATCCTCTGGGGACCATGAATGTCTGTGCAAAAATTCATGTCAATTCATCAAATAGTTGTTAAGATATTTAAATTTTTGCACGGCTAAAATTATCCAAAATACTTATGCAAGGAAACAAGATATTAATCATGACAAAAACATTAAACGCTCCACTAGACATCTCTTTTTTAATATTATGTATTATTTATTTGTTTAGCAAACACTAACAAACATATGTTATCATTGAGACAAGAACAGACTATGAATATATCTAAAAATACAAAGCGATGAGTCAACTAACACCTCTAACGGTCTTTAATTAAATAGATTTAAATCTGCTGGATTCATATCAGACCTGTGAATTACTTTGTTTGTTTTACTCCACTCTTAGCACCAGACGGGTGGAGTTAAGGTATTTCATTAAACCTTCACTGACTTAAATTAAAAGTAATATTGATGGATTAGACTCTTCTCTTTGAGTCATGAAAACACTGTGCCATAGAAATAATTCAGGTAAAATAAAGAAGTAGAGTATAAACTAAAAACCTCGAACAAAAACTTCTAAATATCCATGATTTTCTTGTTTTTAAAGGATTACTTTTAGGTTTAAAAAAAGATGCCTTAAACATCAGAACAGATTACAAATCAAGAGGTTTTATATTATTATATTATTCATATCAGTGAATCATTGTTAATACAGGGTCAAGAGGTCAAACACGAGACTCTACTGCCAGTAATAAAAAGATTTAATCTCTTTTACATCTTTATATCTTCCTCCACACATTAAATGTTTCACTGCACGTTGTTGTGAACTCAAACCTGATTATAAAACCGTCATTCACCGGCATACTGAAACAAGTGTTCACTGTATCCTGCTGTGTTTGTATACTGAAACAGGAAATGAACGTTAACTGTGTTCAATAACTTCCTGAATGTGACGCGACTCTGACGGATTTCTCAGGCGGCCGTTAAGTCAAACACAAGCTCAGCGCGTATCAGATGGGAATTCCCTGAAATGGTAAAAAGAGGACAAGGATCAAATGATCTCCTGCTGGTTCTTCTTCTTCTGAGCACTTCAAGGAGTTCTTGTCCCAGTTGGCTTTAAGAAAATGTAGATTAAAGTTAATTCTTTAAAAACTATCTATGGCTTCAAGTGTCAGACTTTATCAACTGTTTAACAGGCTGGAAACTCTTAATACTTCTGCAAATATAATAAGTCTATAACTAATCAGCTGATTTATTTCAGTATTTAGATTATAACACCAGTTTACTGGGTTTATGCCCCAAAAATATATGGATACAAATTTAGTCATGATAAAAACATACATTTGGACTTTTCATCTTATAATTTTGGCTCATAGTTTGTCTCCTAACTTTCACTTTTACTTTCTTAACTTTGACTTTTTGTTTCATAACTTTGACCTAGTAAACTAAAATGCTATTTTCTCATCATTACTTTTCATCTTTTTATCTTATTTTTACTGTTTAAAATGAGCTCCCGTAGTGTTTTCTAGATCCGTAGTTCCCAACCTTTTCTACCTGTGACCCCTTAAAAAAATGCAACGTCTTGCAGCCTTTTAACACCAGTTTAAACTATTGTCCTGTTTTATTTAAATGACATTCTGCTGCCTGAGGAAATAAAATTATTCAGTAATTCACATGAGAAAAGAGAAGAAAAAGTCTGACAAAGTAGAAAATTCATGAGGGAGAAATATGTTTTTGTTTTACTAATATTATGTGGGAACCAAAATAAATAAATCAAAAATAAATATACATTTTAATGACCAAACCAAAAATATTAAACTCACACTTAAGATCTTATTTTGTTATGGCCAAAGTCATCTTTAACGTGACTGATGAGTCATCTTTAAGACGACTGATGACGACTGATGAGTCATGTTAAACTGCTGCTGCTGGCTCAGGTTGTTTTTATTTGTTCATGAGTCAGCTGTCGCAGCAGTCAGTGAGTATATAGAAACAGATCACTTCTTGGAAAGAGGAAGAATTATAAGTTGTCCTCTTCATCGTCAACAAGTGCCGGTTAAGTTTTCACACGTTTGTGAGGATTTCAGACATCGACGAAGTTGTAGATTCACAACATGTAGTTTATTTAAATGAATGTAAACTTCCTCTTTGTTATTTTAGTTTGTATGTAACAGTTCCTCTTTTCCTCTTGTCAAAACACTACTGCCAAAGTGAAAGTATTTTGATGTTAAAGAAGGTTATTATACCACTGATGCACCATTCAAAACAACTGTTAACCAACACAAAGAGGTTCTAGAAGTTTCTGTCACAAAAACAAAACCACCTTTTTACTTTGGGATGAATTTTGTGGACTTTTAAAAATGTTTAAGGGAAGAATAAAAAATAAATAAATGTGTGTATGTATGTATATATACATTAACATTTGAGGAATCTTATCATTTTATTATAAATAAAGTTGAAACACTTTTTTTATTTGCTGTTTCACTGTCAGTTTCACTTTTGTGTTTGGTTAGAAACAACACTTGATAGCAAAATATAATATATTTATATATTTTAAAATATAAGTATATTATATTTTGTTTGTTTTAAATTAATCTATTTACTGATTTTCAGTAGAAAAACTCACCTAAAGTTGTGAGGACGAGCACATAGAGTAGCTTTCTGTCACATGACAGTTCTCTGACGTCATTACGTAAGACGTCGCGGGAGGGACCGCTTAAGTCTTTAAAAGTGGAAGGAGGAGTAATAACCTGTAGCTGGTGGAGGAGCAAGGTGTCACTTGGAGCATATTTGTGCCTCTTTTTACTCGATTGGACCGTAAGTACTCATATATTTTTATGCTTTTCAAATATTATTCCTTCATTATTAAAGTTTACTTCCGCATTCGTTGACTCGATACAGTTGTAACAAACTTTTAACGTCTTAACATCTGTTAAAAGTGTCTTTTATTAATCAAACATGCCGTGTGACAGTTAATAAACGTATTGTTTAAGTTACTGACTGTGTGTTAGTTGTGTGTTTAAGTAAAAACTATTTATTAATAAGTTAATAAACGAGTGCATGCCTCGACATGACTTTGGAAAGTTTCATGAGTGTAATGTCCACTAACCACCACGAGGGGGCGGTAAAACAGTGGCATGTAGGTCAATGGTAAGTCAAATGACTTAAAATACAGATTAAAATGACTAATATTATATGAATAATAAGAGTTATACTACACTACTATAGAGTATGAACAAATGTGTATTACACAGCTCTTGGAGTGTGTAGAATACAGACATTATGTGGTAACTTTAACTAATTGAGTATTTGTTTAAGTCATTTTTCCGGCTTAAAAATATAAACTTTCACTTGTTCCAGATTTCTTAAATGGGAGGATTTGCTGACATTAATATTTATGAGCTTTTGATAGTTCATCATGATCAATAATGCATTTTAAAGATGTCACCTCGTGGCATTATTCACTGTTATCTTACATTTTATAATGTCTATAATGCAGAATAATACAATTTAAAGAAGCAGCAACTGATAGAAGAACACGTTTATGATGAACACTCGTTTAGCTCGAAATCTCATTTTGAGTTTAATCTTATATTTGAAGGATTTTTTTTTTCCATTTTTAATCAACAGTAAACCAACATGGCGAACGGACACGTGGAAATCCACAACCCCTTCTCCAGCCTGGATGGCACCACAGACCTTAAACCTACCTCAGACTCCGACAGCATGGAGGACACGGTGGAGCTCAGGCTCCTCATGGCCTACGACAAGAGGAGACGACCTCGGAGGGAGTCTCCTCAGAAGGAGTCTCCTTCACAGGACGTCTTGGTGTTATCCAGTGGCCTCGACGCAAACGAGTCGTCCTCACCTCAGACGCTGGACAAGACGGAGGAGAAGAAGAAGAAGAAGAAGAGGAGTATGAAGCGATGGAGACGAAGCATTTTCAGCTGTATCAAACCTCAGAGGGAAGACAAAGAACAGAGAAAAAGTAATGAGAAACTGCCTAACAATGACGACAGAAGTAGTCCTGTGTGTGGTGAGGATCATGACTTATATTATCGATTATTGGAACCATCGTTTTGTCTGTAAAATGATATAAAATGACGTCTTTAATGCCTGAAAGTCACTATAAAGTCCAGAGCTCTGGCTCATATTTAATCAATGATATTTGGGATGTTTAAATGATGGATTTGTAGCTCTTTTTATGCATAAACCAGTCAAATTAAAAGATGTTATAAAGTTACTTTATCGAGCGAACAGCAGGCATCTAAATTACATTATAAATAAGATTAAGTGAGACAATTATCACCAGATTACATCGATAATGGAAATAATTGTCAGTTGCAGCCCAAATACATTTAAATCTGTTATAATCTACCGAAACAGACGACACATTCTTCATCACCTCCTCGTCTACGTCACCTTGTGTTTTTGTACTTTAAATGTTTTAAAACATGCAGCCACAAGTTTTTATTCTTGGGATACAGGCTGGGACTTGTTGCTGTGCTTTCTTTCTCTAAACCGTTTTGTTCATGTGTTTGTATTATTTCTTTCTTCTGAAGTAGAGAAGGATGAGTTGACAGAGGCGGCAAATAAACTGACGAAGATCGCTGATGAAATCCAGTTCCTTCCTCCAGAAATAGAGCCCGACTCGCCAGAAGGTGAGCTTTGGTTTCCTCTTAGAATAAACACGAAGCTCCTTTTAGTGAAGACTTCATCCGCAAACATGTCTCCAGAGCTGCCGAGCTTTAAGCAGCACAGATACTGCAATTGTATATAAATATTGCAATACTTTCATCACCACTGTGTTAACTTCTTTCCTTAAACGTGCCACTAAACAAAATGTAGGTGATGTTTGAGCATCAGGAAATATGAAACTGTCTGTTGGTTTTGTGTTTCATGCTCCTTCAAACCGTTGATCCTCGTTGTTTTCTTCCTGTTGAAGATGAGAATGTGGAGAAAATGATCGGCCTGCTGCTGAGAGACGCTGGAGACCGGCTCAACGAGAAGGTAAGAAACGACGTTTCACTCTGAATATAGTTAATATAATTCTACCTTTCTGGAGGATTCGTAGGGAACTCTTTCACGGTAAAGGTTTGGAAGTCGTTCATGTTTGTCTGCCGTCATATTGTTGTTTTTGTGCCCGTCGTCCACCGTATCTGGAAGGTCTAGAGTTCACAAATAGCTCATAAACATTTAATAACATAACATCTTAGTGTGTGAAATGGTGACGGATGTTTTATCCACCAATGAAAAGACTCTAAACATGAAGAAACCGTTTGTGGTCCTCACCAGGAGCTGAAAGACGCCGCTATCGCCACGGAGCTTTTCCGGGACTACGGTTTCTTTAAGCTGCTGATGTCGACTCTTCTCTTGAGGATGGGCCTCAAGAGCCTCCACCCAGACTCTCCGGGGCCCAAAGCATCGCCCGAAACCCAGATCGCCGTCGCCTGTGAGGTGAGAGCAACCTTTATGGTCTTATTAATAAATACAACCAAAGTAAAACAGGTTTTTTTGGGGGGTATTGACTAACATGTTTGTCTGCAGGTCACCAGTCGTCTGTCGGAGGTGATGTCGCTGCCCAGGAACCGACTGCTGGACCACGGAGCCAGATACCTGCAGCATTATTACTCCCCCTGGGTTCAGCAGCAGGGCGGATACGTACGTTAACAACACACCTTTAATATCTTCCTGAACACTTCAGTTCACCCATAAGCCTTTTTTTAATCATCACATGTCCCTCTCTGACAGGCGAAAGCCTTCTACAGTGACGATGAGGACGACGAGTGAGCAGGAAGTCGTTTGAGTTCCTTCAAAGACTCGAGATGCATTTTACTTTTCTGCCACCGTTTCAGTTTACACGCCCGTGAACTGCTGACGAGCAGCAACACACCTGCACCCTCGCATGCATCATGAATAATAGTGTTCAGGTCTGTTTTGTGCCATTTCCTCTTAAGACTCTGAGCCAAAGACAAAACTGTTTCTGTGTCATTGATATTATATATATATATTGATCATTATATATGACTTGATTTAAAGAAAACATAATAATCGTGTTTCAGGGAAATATAGGATAGCTATCGTAATTTTAAATCGGCATTGTTTGTGCTGGAATTTGGTGGATAAAAACAATGTTTTTTTTGTTTTTTTTTAGCATTTGCACTTTTTCATGAAAATTAATTTAAATGTTTGCTTTCAGAGTTTATGAAAGTGTGTGTGTGTGTGTGTGTGTGTGTGTGTGTGTGTGTGTGTGTGTAAATTTTGCTACAAATGTGTAAATGAAAAAAAATAAACTGGACTCTTTGGAATAAAATCTTCACACCAAGTGGTTCTTACCACGTGTTGTTTTTTTTTTTTTTTTTTTTTTTTTTTTAAATCTGTTTATTAAAAAGTTTATTGATTCAGCAGAAAGAAATATACTTTGGAAATATAAGCGGTTTAATTGATAGTTGATATTAAAATTTAGGACATTTTATCGCAATGTTTTAATGTCTTCATGTCACAAGAAATGTTAATATATATTTAAGTACAAGTCTTGAAAGGTAAATCTTGGCCATGTATGAACTAAATCTATTAACTGAATTGAATTATTGAATTACTGAATTGTTAAAATGACCTTTCTGTGACCGGTGCATGTATAAAATGTCATAATGTACACATCTCTTTAAGTGAAAACAGCCCCGTCTTGTGGTCAAACGAAGAACTGTATCGTACTGACAGAGCAGTCCTGAACCCTATTCAAATGTTTTATAATTTATTTAATTTTTCTACTTTTTAGTTTTCTAATTACTCTCTCAATGCTTCACCAGGCGACAAGTTCTTATATTATTAATTATTTGAATAATTCGGCATATAAATGAAATCCCTAACAGCAGTTTGCTTTATAAATCTCAGTTTAGATGATTTTGTTGCAATTTACTCCGAATTAAAGAACCGTCTCTTTAATTCACTGACTTATTGTAATCGAGTTGCAAATGATTTCTAAATTCGTATTTTTCTGAACGGTCCAACGTGACGCTGCTGCTGATTGGTGTCTCCAAATGAAATGAGATCCAACCCGTTCCCCTGCGCACCTCGGAGTGCCTCAAACCTGCTCTACCGACAAACACCAGCGCGAGGAGGACACACTGCTCATCAATGACGCCTCACCTGTTGGTCACTCTTTCAATGCACCTCACCCGACTCTGTAAGCGCAGCGGAGGAGTTTGAGGAGTGTAGGCTACATGATGTTCAACGTCGTGCACCAGGGTCGGAAATATGTCCCCATGCGCTCCTCGGTCACGGATGAGTCTCCGATAACCGTGCAGACTGTTGATGTCAACAGATCCCCGGGTACGATGGACGAGGCACCGGAGACCGCTTGGTCGCAGCCCGGTGCCAAGCTGCGGATCTCCAAGGCCGGCAAGGGCCCGGCGATAGTAAAGGCTGTCCGGCCGCACTTGACTCCTCCGCCGGCCTCTCTGGAGAGCCTGGAGGCGGCTTGGAGCGAGAGAGCGCACGGGGAGGTGAAACCACCGGTGAGTTCACCGAGCCACGAGGGGAGAAACGGGATGGACGGTCACGGTGCGGGGCCACCGAGGGCCAAGAAAAGAGGGTTCAGACCGCCCGATGTGAGGACCATCTTCACCCCCGGAGAGAAGGACCCCAGGGTGAGACGGGAGTCCGGGGAGGGACACACCTTCCTGCCCGGAGGCGAGGACACCTGGTGTGACGTGTGCTGCCACTACATCTTCCAACATGGGGTCACCTGTTCAGGTGAGTCTGGAGGTGTTGGGGGGGCATGAGGATCCCCCCTCAGTTGGGTGTCAGACTTCAGGAAAAGTGCTTCGACCACTTGATCCTCGGCTGCTTTTTTATTCTTTACTCGCCTTTTTAGGTAAAAAGTATCTTATTTAGTGCTGAGACAATATGATGATACAGTATACACAGTAAACTCTTTGGGTTTTGGACTGTTGGTGAAAACAAACAGTTTTATAAATATTTGGTTTCAGGGAATTGTGTTTGGCATTCGTCACATTTTACAGACCAAATAAATCAAACTATAAAATATCCTGAAAAGGAATCTATGATGGAAATAATTGTTAGTTTCTTCCCTAATTGTTTGTCCATTAAAGGCACAACCATTAGATAAGAATAACTTATAGTCAAAAATGTTTTTTCTGGAAAATATGATATAAATATGAAACTTTTATGGAAGTATAATTGAATGTTTTGGGGTTGATCGAGTCAGAGAAGTCACCTTGCTTTGCTGCTGTCTCACATTTAGATTGGCTGACGTCACATACTTTGAATAATTGTTTTTAAAGTGGCATCGATACGTAATTCGTTAGCACCCTGACATGCAGTGAGAGCACATGTTTGTGGATGGCATTAGTGGGCAGGGCTCTGAAACGCAGCTCAGCACCTGGAATGCTGTCGTGAATGCAGACGGACCGGTTCAGGTCTAAAACGAGCCTCGATGTCTCATCGAGAACAAGCTGGACCTTCATCTGGTCCACTTCTGCCTGACAAAACAATGCAAAGAGGAAACGCAGAGAAACACTCTCTTTCCTCGTGTGTTGAGGTGCGTTTGTTAGTGTTTCTCTTTACATGTTTGTTCTGTCATGAAGCTTTGAACATAACAGCTCTGAGTGAAAGATGTACTGAACCTTTTTGTCCTATTTACCCCATCTTATTCATTTTATCAGAAAAAAACAAAGAGACAAAAACAACTACTAAAAGACACAAAACAACTACAAAGAGACACAAAACAACTGCAAAGAGACA